GTGTGCTTGAAGCGACTTAACTGACTTCTTGGTACACCCTGATAATAAGGAGTTACAATAATCCAGCCTAGAAGTAACAAATGCATGGACTAGTTTCTCTGCATCGTTTTGAGGAAAGATATGCCTAATATTGGCAATGACTTTTATTCGTTCCTCCTTGGCTCCAAAAACAAGTTTTATCTTTATTTAGTTGGAGAAAGTTCTTCCACACCCAGTCATTGATTTGTTCAATAGTCTCCTGGTGAAATTGTAAATGTATGTGTCATCTGCATAGCTATGGTAATTTATTTAGCTGTTTTTCCTTATTTTAACCAGTGGTAGCATGTCGATGTTAAACGAGAAGAGGCCCCAAGATGGAGCCTTGAGGAACCCCACATGTCATATTTGTCCACTCAGATGTGTAGTTACCTATAGAAACAAAGTTGTTTCTGTCCTTTAGGTAGGATTCAAACCAGTTTAGAACTGTTGCCAAAATTAATACGTTGTGGTCAACAGTGTCAAATCCAGCACTGAGATCTAAAACTGTAGAGCAGCAATTCAAATTAGGTCATGCAAATAGCAATACTACCTCTTGACTTGAAAGATTTATTTTCACCCACTCTAAATAGATCTGACTGCAGAAAATGTTGCTTACTGTAGTTTCAATGAAAAGAAGACAAATCTTCATCAAGGATTTAAGAATTCACCAATACTTTCCCATCAGCCTCAGTTAGTGTAGGTTGTGATTATATGCTATCATGCTCAAATAAACACAAACTAATATTATTCCTGTATGGCATAGTAGTATTAGCATGTTAGCATTGCCATAGTTAACATGTTAACTATTGCTCTGTTTTTGGCCCCTACAAGTAGAGTGGCACATCATACTAATAGTTCCTCAATGGTTCATGATCAAAAAAGTGTATTATGGAATAGAAGTAGAAAGTAGCAGTAAATTAAAAGTACTTCAAAATTGTGCTTTATTTCAGTATTTGAGTAAATGTAATTGTTTTAATTTCCAATACTTATAATAAGTACACAAAACATTAGAACAAATACCTTAAAATAGCTAAACAAATTGTTATTTAATGAAAGTTGCACTGTGCTGATGATAACTACAATGGATTTGATCAAAATGTACTCCAATACTACCGTTTATTTTTCAAGCTGTTGTATGCAGGTTTAATGTATATAAGCCCATTTACCTGTTTTTCTGTTTTCAATCTCACAACTTTTCTCGACCAAAAAAAGCATTTGCTAATGGTAAACATGCTCTTGTCACTCTCTGAGTCTGTATATTCTGATTCAAACCATCAATTTAAGAACTTGCTTAAATATGTGTCACCTTGAAATGGATTTTCAATAAAATAGATAATTTAAAAAAGCAATTTAACTGGAGTTTGAGGAAAGTGCTTTTTGCTCATTTCTAAATGGGCACATTTCCATAATTATCCCATAATGCCTGAATTAGCATCTGTAAATCTTAATTTGATAATGCATTTCATCCAAGAGGTGGTTGGATGGAATTGGATTACAGTGTTGGATCTCATTAGTGCTGTTTGACAAAGGCCCTTTTCATAATACTGAGATGTCATCAGTTTAAATTTGAATACAATTAATTCCTTTTTATAGTGGTGCACTGGTCTGAATCCCCTCCCTTTAATTATGCACTCTCCCTTTCAACGCTCAGATTTTCTCCTTCAGCAAGAATCTTTAATCTCCTTTTCAAACACTTCAACACAGCTCTCATATTTGAAACATTTTGTAACCTCACGTCGTCAATAGGACTCTTAACACTTTACGTTTTTCTTTTTTAGAGGAGTAGTGCAACCCACTCGTGTTTAGTCACATGAATATTAAATCAGAGGGCAGAAACAGCAGAGAGGGTTGTCAGCAGTGTGAATCCAGCTATGGTCCTCACCTGTTACCGTCTAACATCATGTTTTAATGTTCACTCAAAGTGTCTTTCTTATCTGCTGTGGCCATATTTTCAACTTAATATATGTATGTGTGTCTTAGCTCGGCAACTCACAACATCCTATTTTCTTTTATCTCATCTCTTTTATGCAAAATGCTAAGCAATATCCCCCCCCACCCCCCTCCTCTGATGTCTGTGTTTTCTTTATCTTTCAGGAATCAAGAATAAACTGCATCCGCATCGCTCGCAAAGGTAATTCAACATGAATATTTATCCTCCCACAGACACTGTGACCTTGAATGAGTTTCCTATGCATTGCAATGTTGTCTATTATCTCATTGTTCCAAGATAAGAAATTAAGAATGTAATTTTCACGGTATTGGTGAGTTTAGTGTACACTGCATTGTTATTCACCTCTTTCTCAAGTACAAAGGTGTGGATGTGGAGAAGCGTTGTCTGACTGGTCCTTGTTGTTTAGCAGCATGCCTCTGAGAAAAGGGCAACAAGCGGGGAGGGATTAAGGGTCAGGCTTTCATCCTGTTTGTTTGGGGGCAGACGCCGGGACACACTATATCAAAGGCAGTCTCTTTGTTCTCATCAGCAGCCCGCTAGACAGCTACATCTGAGGGCTTTGACCTCGAAAAGGTCCAGAAGGGTCCTCAAGATCAAAACTACCAGATGGAGTTACTTTGACCTATCAGTATAAGAAAGCCAAACCCCACCCCCTCATCTTATGTACCTCCACCATTTGGATTCACAGGGACATGAAAAGGGCAGGGAAATTGACTCTAAGTCCTATTGGCAGGAGAGCCCTTCCTGCTGCTGCACACTGTCAGATCATGGTGAATAAAAGTCATGTATTTATAGTTATCATAGCACCGCAACAGTAAGCAGAGCCTTGCAAGTAAATTGTCTTGGCGGGAGTCTTTTCTTTGGTGAAGGCCTTTTTATCGTCTGAGAGTGAAAAACGAAAAGAGATGAGGCTCTCCTCAAGCATAGAGCCAAAAGGCAAGGCCAGCCATTTCGGCTCAGTGTCTCACTCCATCTGCCCCACGCAGACACCCGGTCGGGCATTGATTAATTATGCTTTCACACGCCAATGCAGTTTTACAGTGTGCTCGTCTCTTTTCTTTGACACTAAGCTAAGAAAGGAAGAAAGAAATGCACACGGGCTCTAAAAGTAAAAATGATAAATAAGCAACATTTTAACAATACAATCAATATACTGTAGAAAGACAGAAGTTAAAGGAGACAAAAAGTGCACAATGAAAAGTAATCTTTTGAAAAGATTGGCGGATTTACATCAGCCACGTACATGATGATTTATTTACAAAAAAAAAGGACATACGAATGAAATCATCACGTAGATTTCCAATTTCAAGGTGTGACAGGTCAGTTTTTTGTTGGTGCTGTTTGTGAGCTCCGTGATCCCTCCACCATTTACATAGCATGTGCATCATTGGGTCCTAAGCCCTTATTATCAAGCAGCCCATCACAGGCAAAGTGGAGGCAAATGATTCTGGCTTGGATAACAAAGCTGGAGATTACATTTCAACTTCCAGGTGACAGTTTAATTAAGGATCCTCTGGCAGGCTCAACACAACAATAGACTTCCATTTCTCCTCTAAGTGCCAATTTCCACCATCGGGCAGCTGGCAGGTGCAGGGATTCATGTGGAAATCTATTTCATGCTCGTGTTTGGCTTAATAGAAATTTCTAGGCTAAATGTGGCAAAACCGCCTTATCTGTCCAAAATGTCAGAAAACTGAAATTGATTTTTCACCTCCTCATCTACATTTCTCGCCAATAAAACGCATCCCTGTATTTCTCGTGTACGTGTCATTTTAAATGAAGTCACAGAAGAAAATGAACTGCAAGTGCTGAGTTGTGTTTTTTTTTTCAGGGCAGCACGTTAGGACTGATTCTATGTTATCTCCAGTTACAGTAGCTCCCAGACATAAAGCCATATTTGGGTGATAGCGTGTCTCTGTGTGTGAACAGGGACTACACATTTTTTTTGTATTCAGTCTGACTGAACCGCTTCCTACCACTCAAAGTAAAGTATACCTTTCAAATGAGCTGTCCGTAGGTTGAGCAGCACAAAAAAAAATCAAATTTTTGGAACAACATGGAGTTAGCAATTCGAAAAGCCACTTCCTGAGCGTATATAGAAGGAACATATCCTTTCTTATATCAAGCCAATGACTAATTACAGTATCTCCATTCTCATATGCCAAACACCCATCATTGATTTAAAAAAAACCTGCCGAATACTCAAATAATATTGTGCTTCTTTCATCTTTGGTAAGAGGGTTCTAAAGCACCCCACTATATGCCCCCGGCTGCAGATAGTTGGGCTCAAACATGGCGTCGTTTTCCTTTTCCCTGCCCCAGATCTGATTCTTCCCCAGCAGGCTGCAAGATAGAGCAATATCCCCAGGCCCGCTGTGATTTCTTCTGCCGCTCTCCAGTTCCAAAAGGCTGAGAATGGCTAGTTTCGGGGTTGTTAAGGCCTGGAGGACAGGCTGACACACTCAAGAAAAACTAGATCAGTGGGCCCTGTACAACAATACAAAAAGAACCCAGTGCTCAGCACCATTTACATAAGTATGGAGCTTTATGCCAGAGAAATGAATAACCTGCTATTATGATAACGACTTTTCCAGAGGTTTACAGACACCCGGGCACCTTGAGATTATACTGTAGGGCTGTGAGGATGACTTGTGACTGGGAGAAAAAATACACTTTATATATTTATTTTCCATATTGAATAGAAATTTGCTGCAACAGTTTAGTGCATGTACAATAGCATATGTACTATTGTAATATCACAAGGTGTCAGGTTATTGTTGCAGTGTCATTGTACAGAAGAACAATTGCTGAATCGCTCATTTTTGTACATGACTAATGGGTCTTAGCTAATGAGTTTCTTGTCTTAGGCTGACATATTTGCAAATCCTGCGAAAATAGTTTATTCTTCTACATCAATGTATTGCAATCTGTTTATGTTCTCAACTCAGTTTGTTTTCTGTAAACATCAGTATAAATCTTTAACAGTCTAAGTAGCCGGTTGAAAACCTCTTAGACAACACTATGCAAACCAATCATTTCGCTTGTCAGAGCAGAAGTTATCATTATGTATGTCTGAGGATTACAGGTTTGTTAGGTTGGACAGCATGGACAATCGCTGTCTGCCTTCAGGCTTCACTTCTTTTATTCACTTGTCTCTTTTATCTTTAACAAGTATAGGAAATAACTACTGGTATAGAAGTGTAGCCTTGACGTTGAGAAGACTATTATTATATAGTGGATCTCCTCCCAGCATTCATGATAAGCACTATGAAGGTCTGTAGTGTTGTGTGAAAAGAACACAACTCTGAGTTCTGTGTGCATTCATTAAAGTTATTTGAAGCTGTGGGTTTTCTATTTTCCCATGTCTGCATTACATTTTTCACTCTCTTTGCTTACTATGAATAATTTATTTGGCACCTTCAACATTATTTCTGTATGTACTGTATTTGCATTGTGCCATTTTTATTCATGTGCATCTGTGTTTCTGCTTCTTTAGCAGCCTGCAAGGATCACCGCAAAGCTCTGGAGGTGTCCCAGCACTCGGAGGAGATGGGTCTGATTCTCGGGGTGTGCGCTGGAGGCCTGGTGGTGCTCATCCTTCTGCTGGGTGCCGTTATTATCATCATTAAGAAAGGGTAAAAGTCTGCTGATAACTGTTGATCGCACATCATGCCTCATTATGCACACCCCCATATTGTTTTAGTCTTTTATGTTTTGTTTTGGACCATTTAGTCATCAGTTTTCATATTTTTCTGAACTTTTGAAAAGGTCATGCTTATTTAGGATAGAGTCTGAAACCAACAACCAGCGCTGCATTGTTTTCATTGCCTCATGGTGCACCGTGGGGACCAAACAACTCACATCTGTAGAGCCTATCTGAGTGTGGAGTATCTAATTAAAGGCGGATGCAATTCAATTAGCCACTTAATTACGCACACCAAGCAGAGGCCTGACCCTTAAATGAGATGGTAATTGGGAGGGAAAAGGTGTGCTTTAAGACATTATTAGCCAATGATCCCGCAGGTTTACAGTACATCATCTACACATCTTGCTCGGCATTTATATAGCAGCAGCTGTAGGGCAGCCTGAGTTTAAATCTCAAATAAGGCTTAACCTGGCTTACTAAAATAAGATAAATGAAAATTTGAAGAACCTGCCGTGCCAAATGGGAAGTTACTCAGGGCTCCAGCAATCATTACTAAATGGCTGACACAGCCTCCCAGCTAATATTGAATAATGTTGATTCTGAAAGTCACGACTACTCTGCACATTAGCCCGGGTTCCTATGCTAAGCCACCATGAAGTCCGCTCTTAGCGAATTGATAGCTAAAATGTTTCTGACAGGAAGCCTTGCGGTCTAGTCCTTGAAGTATAACACTGAGACATATTCGACAGAAGGGGAAAAAAATAGTTTTTCCGCCAGCACCTGCTTGGTTCGTTTGCATGTGTCATACGGCCGCCTGCACAGCCGAGCTCACGGGAGGATGGATTTCATTTTCACTGTAATCAATGCATTCTGCCCTCAGCTGGCATTGCTTTCATCTTACATCTCTACTTCTTCTTCTTGATTATTTTTCTTCTTCTCCTGCACTCTTGCCAGGAGGGACTACTACTCTTACTATCCGTAAGTGACTCCACCCCTTGCTCTCCCATCGTTTCAGTGATCCATCTTATACATGCTTGTGCACTGGCTGTCAATCATAAGGTGTAGAGGGAAAATAATGAAGCAGTTATTTGGACTTTATCACCTTTTTTCTCTTAGTTGCTCTATATTTTTACCTCCATAGCATTCGTTACTAAACATAACATTTCCTTTTTCCTCCTCTCTCTTTCTCTCTCTGTCTATTACAATCTCCCCTGTATTGTTTCCATGAATAGGAAACCAGTGAACATGAATAAGACACCCATTACCTACCGGCAGGAGAAGAGCCATATGGGCTCCATGGAGCGCAGTTTCACAGACCAGAGCACTCTGCAGGAGGATGAAAGGCTGGCCCTTTCCTTCATGGATGCGCACACCTGCGGCACACGCAGTAAGACAAAAGACACTCAGTGTGCACAAACCTGGCAGCTTACCACTACTACACAATGCAATTTCAAACTTGACACAAATCATCCCTCACTTTTTAATCTTGCTGACCGTCACTCATTCACTCCATAAATGTCTGAATCATTCTGAAAAGATAATTATCACGCTGTGTGAAAAATGTTCTGTGGTTCGACTCCCCTTCAACTATTCACTGCCTGCAGCTGATACACAAGACGAATCCCACAAGATGTGCAAAAAAAAGGGAGAAGTGAAGTAACATATTTGTATTGAAAGAAATGATTTGTGATGCTTGTCAGTACGTTTCATCTTCATCTCCTTTCTAATATCGTCAGTCTCGCAGAAAGGGAACGACAGATGTGTTTACTTTACAGGAAGTGCTGATCTTGTTCACACGTCATGTGAGACAGAGCTGCTGTCACGTCTCTATAAAATATAATATGAAGACATCCGTGTGCAGACAGACCTTAATCGAAGTGACACACATGTAACATATACTGTACTGTATGAGTCAGTATCAGCATACAGATTCCCACGATGTAATGGTAACACCAGCATTTGTAATTCCGAACAAAACATGCTACTAAATGTTTAATGTTTTACATCGTATCACATCTTGCACATGAGTTATTCAGCTTGAGTCGTGCTGACATTGAACATGTGTCTGTGTCTGCTGCAGGTGACGTCCGTAGTTCAGTGAACGAGGCCAGCAGCCTACTGGGGGGCTCCCCGAGGCACCAGTGTGGACGTAAAGGCTCCCCATACCACACAGGGCAGCTCCACCCCGCCGTCAGAGTGGCTGACCTTCTGCAGCACATCAACCAGATGAAGACTGCCGAGGGCTATGGCTTTAAACAGGAGTATGAGGTGAGAGAGCGCTGCTACTCTCCTGTCTTACACAGCACAGCACAACACAGCCAGTTTATTAATCTTCCACTCTGACTAAGTTAAGTTAAAGCAAGTGTTGCTTCTGGTGCTTAGTGTCTTAGGAAGATTGTGTTAGTTAATAATCAACCTTCACTGTTATTATTTAACGTGGGTATAATTGGTTCATTCTTGCCAGACATGCATCGAGTGGGATAACTAAAGGCAAGAACACTCAAACTGCGGTGATATACATAATCCAATGCTACAGTTGGAGGCTTGGTTACATTAACTTCAATTTTCATGCCAAAAATTTAAAGCGGTCTAATTATGCTTAAGAAACGTATTGCAAATTGGGTAACACTTTGTATGAGGACCATGTCTATAACGCATTTATAATGCTTTATTAAAATAATCCTAACCCATTTTACAATAACTTATAAGGTCACGTAATATTATATGTTTATTTTCCAAGGATGAAAGTGTGCCTGCATTCATTACAAATGTTGTTATATTACAATATTATAATCTTTTTATAATGGTATTATAACTTTAAGAGGTCACTGTTGCTTTGAGTAAAGTGAAACAAATATATATAAATACAGTACATATGTTTATTTTGTATTGACAAAATTGAAACGCTGTAACTGTTTGCGGCAGGAGCATCAACGGTATGAACACATCAGCAGCTCTTTCTGCTTTTGTCTTTGACGCACAATGTCATCGTCTCAATTCAAACTTCAAGTTATGAATAAAAGACCCTTCATTGCTGCTACCTACTTATCTATCTTATCTCATCCACAAATTATGTTTTAAGCAATAACCCGCACTTCATCCATCTATTTTCACTTTTGCCTAGATTTAAGGTCTCAACAGAAAACATTTCTTCTTTGTTGGTGCTTCCATGGCAGCGGGAAGGTATTATCTCTCAATCATGTGAGGTGATAGTGTGTTAGTATTGCTGTTAAGGCCACTGTGTGTAATACAAACTTAGTTCAGCCTTGATCGATTATTTCATTTTCTGAGCATGCAGAGCTTGTTGCCATAGGGGAGACTTGTCAAAGTTGCAAGACAAAGCTGTGCTGAGCTCCCCCCGCACCATAAGGTCCGGTACAGTGGCTACACTGATGTACACCATGGCTGGTTAACCTGCGCACTCCTCCATAACACAGCGGAGAAAACTGGCACGTTCAAAAAAGCTGTTTTAAGTTATTGGACTGGAGGTGGCATTGTTCTGGAGTTGAAGAAGCCAGGGGTAATCAGTAAAAAATGTTTTGTAACACTACAGCTCTTGGTGTAGCCAGGGAGGAGGAACGGGTCAATAACCAGGCTTCGCTCAGCGGAAGTGCTCAACCTTAATTGTCCACATTGTTACAGCAGGAGGAGGAAGGACTATATTGAGGACCTTATAAACCTTATGGACAAACCCTCTGTGATGCAGGAAGTGCCTGAACAATTTGAGAGTGTTGGAGTATGTATACTTGGTACAGGAAAGTAAACTCAATAAGTTTATTATTAAAATTATTTGAGAGTTGACTTTAGTAGAAGAAACCGAAGCCCCACATATAAGTAACAGAACAGCTAGCCTCATGAATACAGAAAAATGCATCACTGACTTCTCACTGCTTATCTTCTCTGTCGATTTGATATAATATTTTGTGGGAATTGCCACTTGGAATTGCTGCATGATTAACTGTTTAAATGAATTATGCCCAAATAAACTGATTTTCATTGTAGGGACAAAAACGTATTTAAAGTGTAGCTAGTCCTATGATGACAGTCACAAAATGCAATTGATAGCCCATAGAATGAGGAGTTCTGCAAGCATATGCGCTCGAACTCAGAGCTGTGAGCTGAGTTTCTTTTAGTAGGAATTGGACTTTGACAATCTTAAGACCACCAAGACTGATCGAGACAAAATTAAGTATTTGAAATAGTCATTTGGTTATATTTACTGGCTGTTAGTGAGTAGTAAGTAAGATCACCTGCAATTACCACATATTGTGGATAACTGTGAGCTTAGAGAGGCCATGTTAGCTGAAATGGCTCTTGCTAGGAGGCTGTGGGAGGCCATCAATCCTCCTCTGACATCCTCCATGAGCCCTTCTCACCACCCTCTGAAATTAATTAGTGGGGGTTAAAAAAGGCATCTGGATCACACTGTCGCTGAGCATATGAATAAATCATCCTCATTTGGCCCCAAAAGAAGCCCTCTGTCATGACTGCAGGCCTGGTGAGGTTAAATATCTCAGTTGGAGTCCTCTGTCTACAACTGAAAGATTGTGGGGTACAGAAGAGAGGTAAGGGGAGTCTGAAGGGTTGGGTAGTAAGGCAAAACGGATCAAATGTTAGGAAAGAGAGTTTTGTCTTCTATGCCCTGTCACTTCAAAGTATCCTCCTCACGGTAGCAATGTTAGTATTTACCTCCCTCCTCAATACATGGTGCAGCGTAAATGCTCTATAATTTCAGAGGGTAACCATCAGACTGATATAGAGGACGCTTCTCTCTCTCTCACAGCACAGGGCTGATGATGCTGCTCTGATGAATCACTGACTTAGATATCCCGTCGTCTGATCCAGTAATGGTTGGCTCTACATTCAAAATAGAGGCAATAACCATTATTTCAGACACACTGTGATCAACCAGGTCGTTGTCCCGCAAACAAAGATGGTTCAGAAACTGCATGCACTTTATCGTTGCATATTGTGAATCATGGTTCGTTTTTTGTACCATTTCCTTGTGGCGCGTTGTAAGTCCTGAGTTGAACTGTAACGGCCCGTACACAGCGGCGTGCCGTGCGTTGACGCTTCACCATTCACTTTGAATGGGGTGACGTCACTTTTCGCCGAACTGCATTGTGGGAAAAGACGCGGAGCGTTGCTGGCGTGGCTCGCTGCAAAAGTTGAGCAATGTTCAACTTTTGACGCCTCGGCAGAAGCGTCAGCCAATCGAATCATATGCCAGTACAAGCTCTAGCCAATCAAACCGCTGCTTGTGTGTCAGGGGCGGGAGATTCATGTGATTGGTTGTTGGTCGAGTTTCAGACACGCCCGCCGTCAAGCGACAGCGCACGCCGCTGTGTGGACGGGCCGTAAGTACAGGCATTTTTCTCCTGCAGAGAATTGCTTATCCCCCTCCTGCTGTCACCGTGGCTGCTGTCTCGATTTGTATGTTCCAGGGCACATAATGACGGGCCCAGATCTCTGAATACTTCACCCCGGTGGAACTTTGTGGATGAGAGCTGAGCTCACACCCCTGGGAAAAATCCATCCTTGTCACCCTCAGCCCTCGTGAAAAGAGAAAACATCTTTTGTCTCTGGTTCTTGGTTTTCCCTCTGGAACTCTGCTTGTAGATTCATTAAACTGTCCCTCACGGGCAAAACACACTCCACTCAAAAAATCAATACACACCTCTTTGTTTTGTTTGTATCTCTTTGCTGTAGTATGTGTTTTGATAGAGTGTCTCTCCATTATGAAGGAAAATGATGAGGAGTATCATATTACACTGCCCGGCAGTATAGGTTTTTATTTCCCCGAAGAATACCTATGTGGTGTAAAACATTGATCAAGAATTTACAGTGAGTTGTGAAGGGGCGTGTGTGTGCAGCAGCTACAGCCATATTCCCACTGTAGAGTATAGCGAGTAAACAACAGCAGAGCTGAAACTTTCATTATTCTACTTTATACCCCGAGGCTGAGGTTAGCAAGGATTATTATTGATTCAAAGTTTAGTTACACCAGAGACTACTGAATTATTACTGTGCTTATTTAAAAACAACAGTTACCTTATTCAACATTCATACCATTTCGGCAGCATGAATCAGGCTTGTTTATTTTTTTGACATCCAACATCCCAATTGTATCACATCTGCGACATCTCTGATTGGATTTTGACTGAATGTAGTGGGATTACGAATCTCATCCCCGGTTTTGGCATTTAAAAAATTGTGTGGGTGAAAAAACGAGAGGTGACATAACAGTTATTGAGTGAAATGAAAGAAAATCAAGTGGGATGTTGATGTCACATCAAGATGTTAAAAAAAGTGCTTTAAAGTGTTATAATGTCAGAAGTTCACGTCTGTACTTGAGTGTAATTATTTCTTTCATCTAATTTTCCTCACTGTATATAATCCTCTTAACCAACCCACTCCACCGATTCCTGCCAATGAGGGTTTTCTAATACATTTTCCTCGAGTCTGTGTTGTTTTCCCTTCACTCCCCTGTCACTGTTTTTTTCCCTGTTTTTTCTTTCTCTACCTGCTCCTCTCTCCTATATGGACATGAAAAGAGAAAAACGACAGCTCAGAGGTCTGCTGTTAAAAAATAAGCAAGAGAGGAATGTGGAGAGAAGTTATCAGGAAAGGTAGAGAAAGGTTCAGAAAAAGAGAGACATACCCCGAGAGAGGGCCCCTGCATAGAAAGAGGAGAAAAAAGTGTGGAGGATGGTGTAATCCCAGGAAGGCTTTGGCTGGTTCTTGCTCTCTGTGGGGAGAACATCGTTGTAATCCCCTGCTCAGCATGCATACTTGGGCAGAGTTTCACCAGATTCCCCTAGTGGCTGAAAATCGCAGGGGGTAGACTGGTTTGGCTGTGTGTGTGCGTGTGTGTTTTTCATACATCTGAAGGGGCTGTTTGCAGACTTAATTTAGCCCACAACAGACGATCAAAAGTGGCTTACGATGACGTGTGAGAGTAAGCATTTGCTGGTGCATCCATGCAGACAGGTGGATGATAGGGAATGAGGAGAGGTGTTGCTGAGTATGATATGCTATAATATAACTGAGCAGCCATCCACTAAGCAAGTGACAGTCTTCCTTCTTTTTCTCCAATTACCGGTCTTCTCACCATACAGTGATTCACAAGCTGTATATAGAAACATTCAGTGAGTTACAGAGCTGTATCCTTCAACAACATGTCTTCTCGTTTTGCAGCAAGTTATACCTAATGTAAGAGGCTAACCTCTGTTTTTGTATTGTTCTCTTCCCACACTGCACAAAGGCAATTTACTATACTAAAGAGGCAGTTTCTTGTCTGTGAGTTCTTGTTCAATAAGTCGTGATTTTGGATAAAGACAGACATAAGCAGGCTTCTCATTTCCAGCCAGCCACCTCCATCTGATTCGTTTTTCTTTGCAGCTGAATTATTCTGTTGAAAACCCCATAAAAGCAGTTTTAATTATCTTGATATACTGCCAAAAAAGATTAATGTTTATGTACGTTTTTATTATATGTTTATGATTCTTGGCTTTTGCAGTATGTCATTTTTTTCTCTTATTATGCTTATTGTGATTATTACATCCCAAAATATCAAGGCAAATCCCTTGTATGTAAAAACGCACATGGCAACAAACCTATTTCCAGTTTCCAGAGTTTGACAGACCTGCTGCACTTAGATACGATTAGCTAAGCCATGATTGGATGATTGGATGATGGCTCTTTGGTCAATTTGTGCATTATGAAACTTCCATTAACTCCATGAGCCTCTTCTGTGATAACATGGAGTCCTGGGATTACTTCTATGGATTTAAGGTTGAGGTTAATTTATTTGTATCGCACATTTCAGACTCAAAGGCAATTTAAAGTGCTTTACATTGGCAAAAGAAAAAAGACAAAGAAAACTTAAAAAAGACAATTCATAAAAGAGATAGAAATAAGTTAAAAAATAAACATTTTAGATACATATCATTCTTGAAGAAGTGCTCAAGTTACATTTAAAAACATAACTTAATCCATGGAAAAGCAGCATTTAATTAAGAGTTTTCAGTTAAGTGTCACTTGTCACTGATGTTGTACACCAAATATTAACCCAGTATTAAAAAGCCATTGGGTTTATATTAAATATAATAAATGTATGTCCATAACTTTTGGATGAGACAAAAACTGTTTGATGACTGACTCGCTCATTTATTTGATCACGTTTCTTGGATAAACCAAGAAACCTCTGTAGGACACAATGCCTCTTGGTTTTATTTGTCATTTTTAATGCTGATATGAAAATATTTACAGATAAAACAAAGAAAGTGCTGGAGCTTTGATTATCGTTAAAATGTAAATCTAAACTATATGAATTGTAAATATGGAGAAGCCCTTTCCCTGAAATGCATCTATGTTGTTTCTTTATCTCTGTAGAGCTTCTTTGATGGATGGGACTGCACAAAGAAGAAGGACAAAACCAAAGGGAGGCATGACACACTGTCAGGATGTAAGTCATCAGAACACATTTTATTTAGTATATTAAAAAAAATGCCATTGTGGAATCGTTGTATTTTAAATGTGCTTTGCTATTTAATTCTAATCCGTCTCAGATGACCGCCACAGAGTCAAGCTTCACCCTCTCCTGGGAGACCCCAACTCAGACTACATTAACGCTAACTACATTGATGTAAGTGTAATCCTGTTTTTCTGCCTCTGTTCGACATGGGATACAAATAGTCTGCTGAGTCTCTATCTCTCACACCCTGCAAAGCCACAGTCCATCTCTCTCATTGCTGTAAGCTCACCAGTCTGCTGGCCCACTTTCACCTGGAAGCTTTCATCCAATCAAAGGCCCTTCTAGCGATGTTTTACCAGCTGCCATGGTTATGAGTTGCTACGGAGAATCCCTGACTCGGCTATCGCTTTTATTAAAACCGAGTGCATTTAATGCCTTGTGGAGGAAATGAACCTTTCTGTAAGATGCCACAAAATCCCCCCTAAATTAAATAGACATGATTGATGTTATTCAATCTCCGGATGGGCCGCCGGGAGGAAGTGATCCTTTCCACTGTTCACCTTAACTGTCTGCCAAACATGCAGTGCCACAGTAACATGCTAACTGATCATTTTGAAAAACATGTATATGTTGCTAACGTGTCTTGCACAGTGTCATTCATACATGTTCCCATTCATGAAAAACTAGAGGAGGCTGTGTCTATTCAGAAAGCATAAGTGCGCGTTCAGATTAGTGGAGTTATTGAGGAAAGAAATCGGCACAGATTTTGAAAAAAGTGATACAATAGTACAGATATACTTGTAGATAGAAACTAGTATTTTGGGTCCCCTGTGAATTCGTTGTCACAGCCCTCAGGTGTTGCTATTCCTTTGAGTCATGTCATGTCAAGTCAAGCAAGTCTGATATGATTTCTTTATCAAGCAAGATTTATTTTTGCACGCCTCTCATTGGGAATAAAGAAAACATGGCACTTGGTGAAAAGTTGAGGCATGCTCATGTTCTCCCAGTGCTGGTTGAGGATGATAAGATGAGAAAAGATCCTGTTTCTGTCAAAGTCTTTATAAAGAATATATAATAAAGTTATTTTAGCGAAAGAGAAAATTACGAACTGAATTTGACTTGATTTTAGGTGGATTTATCCTTTATGGCCAATTATATCATATAAAGGCTTGACGCTACGGAACTTCTTTTTCCTGTCATTAATTTCTCTGTAGAGAGTAACCAGTCGGGAAATGCTTTTAGATAGTTCATCACAATGAGAGGGCTTTAAAAATGTGGCCTGCTGTTAGGACTGTAGTTATTATGAGGGTCTCCATTAGCGTTTAGGGCACAGAGGTGCAGGCATTAGAGAGAAAACACCACTCAGCAGCCACTACAGGGTCAGTGTCACTGATGTTACACCCTGACAAGGCTGACCCACTGAGCTGATGGTATCTACTTAGCCACAGCAAAGCATATTTTGGACAGCCTGTGATTATTTCACCAGAGGTTAAATGGAAAAGTTTTTACTCCCTCTGAAAATTGCAGTTCCAAAACAGAGTTCACCTATTTTCTCTGTCACTTAATACCCGAGCCTTTGCTTGGCTGTGGCGAGTGTTTGCTTGAAGAGGTGAGGTACTTTGCATAAGCTCCCTGAACCTTTTGCAAATGTAGAGCCGTCCAGTGCGACATGTCTGTTGCTGATTTACATAACGTCTGCTTCTCAAGAGTAACAGGGTCTTTCTGACAGGTGTAGCATGTCTACACAATTAAACACTAGCAAACACACACACACACACACACACACACACACACACACACACACACACACACACACACACACACACACACACACACACACACACACACACACACACACACACACCAGCTCAGACATAAAGACAAACACACGCACGTCTCATACTGATACTGAGTTTGGTAAAAAATGACTATTTTTTCACGAACTTAAAGGCTTCAAATTCACCTTCTTCGACAAGTGATCAGCTCCTAAATGAACAGTTATTGTTTTGACAGGTTAGAAACTAAATCCTGCATTTAGTATTTTATCATCTTGCTTTTCATATTGGTTGGCAAGTGGGTGGGATTTCTTTGATAAAAGGGGATTTCACTCATTTCAGTGCGGCTGTCAAAGTTCCCGAATGTGATCGTTGTTTGTCAATGTTTTTTATATCAAATCTCATCATAGTCTCGAGCAAGCCACCATTAATATTGAATTCACCTTTAAGTGTGATTGTTACTCATTAGTCAGGCCCAGCAGATTTCATTGAGAAAGTGACGCTCCCCTGATTTTGTTTATTAAAGTCTTTTTTTCTAGTTTATCTAAATAGGAAATTCCAAACCCAAATTCATAGTAAATATAAAGGGACAAATATGTTTTCAATTGGGAAAAAAGCAACCCATAGATTAGTGTGAACAAAAAAAAACATGACCTCATTCATTCTAACTAAAAATAAATGGTCTATTATTCATTAAGCACATTCCTGCTGTACTTATACCACAAAAACACACACACACTTCTTCCAGTCTGTCTTTTACCATAACTCCTACTTACTAAAAGCTTATTTCATTAACTAGCCTATATGTCTTCTTTTTCTACTCCTTCGCCACCTTCTCGACCTTGGACCCTGTAGATTCGGATTAACAGGGAAGTAAGTACTTCACTGCTCGTTCTGCTGCCTTCCATTGCTCTCTTTTCTCTCTCTTCCCCCTCTTCTCTTCTCACTTCCCTCTTCTCTTTCGGCTACCCTCTATCCACAAATGCTCAAAGGTCAGTGTGTTCTGGTTTGTGCACATTTGACAAACCCTCTCTTTCCCAACCTCCACCCAAGAAAACATGCCCTTTTAGCTAATGATTTTAAATGAACGCAAAGAGATGTGTCCTCTCCGGAAAGAGGACCCTGTGGTTTTTAGTTCTCATAAGTGGCAATGACTCTGGAACTATATTTGCCATGGCCACTGTCTTAAGTGGAGGAGTAGTACTGTAGCTGTGCTGATTGCGTTCGGTCGGGGGGCCAGAGGAATTGTGGATAGCAGGCCTCACAGCACTGGTCATCCATCTCCATTTCAAACATGTCCCTGCTTACATGACTGGATGAAATTCAGTTTTGCTAATGTATCAGCGAGGCTGGCAACTCTCCATGTTAGGAAGAGACTCTCAGCAATAAAATGAAAACTGATATCAACAAGGATCGTGCCCATCATGCTTATTTGATGAGAGCCGGTGGACTTGAGGGTTCATTCAGATTATTCCCGACCTGCTTTTCAACTACAGAGTCATGTAAGGTAAATGGGGCGTCGATTATCCTCCCAGCTGCTCCTCTTAAAACGACAACAGACAGTGAACCACAGCATCCACGTGGTTGTCTAAGCGGTGTCTGCGTCTTTGAGATTGCCAGGTGTCTCCTTGACTGTGAAAGGTTAGATAGGCAGTGCTTATTTTCAGGACTTCCTTTAAACACACTGGTTGTCTTTAAAGTGCTAATGCTTGAAAGGTGCTCAGGTGACATCTCAATGTTCATTCATATTCACCCCCTATTCACGGTATGAAAATGTCTGTCATCTATATCAAAGGGCGTCACATCCTTTGATATAAAGTATCCCAGAGTACTTCACTGTATGTATTTGATTTTTGTCTGGAAAACTGTTTATGTTTGTGATGATATCATGCATTTATGTGAACCCTGTGTATGATATTCTCATGTCTTGTGAGAAGAATTCAAAAATAACTTTTTGTTGGTAGAAACCGTTTGTATTCATTTAATTTATCATCTCAGAAACTTTAAAAATCACACCTTCAATACAACATCTTTATTTTTATCGGGACACCTGAAATTGAAGTGTGTGTGCACCTTAAGTTTATTTATTAAATCTTTATTAAACTGTCACAGGGACACACTTTTTGTTTAGTCAGCTAGCCTGACTTTTAGTTTGAAGTGCCAGAGATCTATCAACTTTTAGCCAAGATGTATTAAAAACCCATGTGTTGACTCAACAACTCTGAATTCTCTGTGGAGACTGTGAGGTCAAACACATGGTCAGAGGTCAGCATTAGCTCAAACAGTGCTGGACAGTAAACTGGATTCAGAGTTACAGTAGGTCAGAAGGAGAGCAGAATGCAGAGGAAAGGAAAGGGTGAGACAGAAAGACACCCTCCTGTACCGCAGTGCCTGGGGCACAGATGGCTTACTCAGCATGTCATCCCTCTTCTCTCTTTCAGGGCTACCATCGATCCAATCACTTCATCGCCACTCAGGGTGAGTTTTCTTGGCAAGGCTATAGTGTGTGTTTATTGTGCAATTGTGTGGATGAAGAACAATTCCATAGGATAAATGGGAGATGATCTAACCAATGAGCCCACTCTTGCAAAGTATCTTGCCTTAACTCATCTCTATAGAAAATCCAAAGGTGATGGTGTGACTCCCGACCTGTGAAGGCTGTGCTAGTGATGTCCCTGAATCAATCATGAGAAGACATGAATAATAAAGCACATTAATAACAGCTCCTCAATCTCTAAGACATGTGGAGCAGCGTGTTCATTGTCGGGGAGAGGTCCTTTCATTCACCCTCTATCGCTCAAATATAAAATCGCTACTGATGGACAGTCGGACTCTATTAGAAAATATCCCACCGTCGTTTTCCCAAAGTGTGTCAGTTTCCAGGGAGCTACCGTCACAAAGTCACCCAAGGTCTGCTCATCCGCTTATCTTGCAAACACACCTCCCCTTCCCCCCGATAGAGAGACAGAGAGATGAAACCCGTGAGAAAGAAAAAAATATGTCAGCAGTGTTTTTGTCTCTCTGAGCATTTCTTTTCTACGTGATCCTCGTTTTTAAGTTGTATCTCCCTTCCTAAATGTCTCCTCCTCAGATGACAATGGGTGACTGATGGTCCCGTGGGCCTCCATCATCAGCTACTGCTGTTGTTTGTCACCCATCACCCCTTCACTTACTGTCTGGAATACCCAATCACTTTATTGACAGCACAATCTTGAGAGATCAGTACCCCGCTGTCTGAGCAAGGACACTTAGGTCGAAATAAAATTAAATTTCACAACAGAATCGAGAACTCCCATATTGAGCAGAGCGTGCTTTCATGCTGCCATGTTTGTCTTTGACTTATTTCTTCCCACATCCCACCAGGACCCAAGCAGGAGACTCTCTATGATTTTTGGCGGATGGTGTGGCAGGAAAATTGTTTCAGCATCGTCATGATCACTAAGCTGGTGGAGGTTGGCAGGGTAAGTGATGTGCACTCCCCACTTCTTCCCCTCCTGTCACCACCCTCTGCACATAAACACCCCACATCCACCATAAAAGAACATTTTGGTTTCTATTCTAAAGGCTTTTATGTGTGTGATAAGTATAGATCTCACAGGAGCTTGCTCTGCATGCAAAGTGCAGCCTGAGAGCTGTTCATTTTGACAAAGATACCCTGCATTTATGTGAAATCACAGGCAGGAATAGTTGAACATTGTTGGGGAAATTGGCTTTTTTTGCTGAAAGTTAGACGAGAAGATCAATAGCAGTCAGTTAGCTAAGCACAAAGGCTGAGCAAAGTTACAGCAATACAACCTACCTATCAGCACCCTTATTGAACATTCCCATGCTCCCAATCTTCATGCTATAGATTCTTTATGCCCTGACTGTGGTAACAATCTTCACGACTAACCCTCGGCAAGAAAGTGTAAAAGCATATTTACCAACATGTCAAAGGAGTCCTTTTACTTTCTGTATCAAATTCTCTTTGTGGCAATTGAAAACCAAGCAAGTATACACAAATCTCTGTCAACACATGTATTCCACAGAATTTGCTACATTATTATTATCTTTTATTTGTCTGTTTTTAAAGGTCATGGTATTATGATGATTTTCATGATGACTAAAGTGATAATGGAGTCCATAAAATATGCTATGAAATATTTATGAGCCTAAAATGTCTCAGCCACATATCTGCTGTCCTTGTATACACTGCATGACTACACAGGTTTCACGGCTTCACTGTAGGGCTGTTTTCACTACCCTCACATAAATACCTGTTTTATATAATTCTGTATATAAGTACCCGTTCCTGTTCAGCCCCAGAGACAAATGTATTACTAAGTGGATTGTTAAAATTGCACTGCTTTTCCAGCAGTCAAACCCACATCTGATTTCGTTCTCCATACCAACAAATCTGGGAACAGTCGAAAAATGACGACTGGTCTGTGTGACCTTGCTCCCTTTCATGTCATGTGACAACATTTAATAGCTTGCATTTATAATGTACAGCAAACCAAAGCACAAGAGAGGCCAAAACAATATTTGCACCGCGGCCAATCACAACCTTTTTACGCCACTGTTCGACGTGTCACTAAATACATTTCACACAAACAAAGAAAAAATTGAAGTGCAAAATATTTGATTATAATGATCACTTACGTAAGAATTATAATGACTCGGGTAATAGATTATCTTTGTGCCGTGAAATTATAAAACAAAATGTTTAGTCGATTGAATGCTCAATGCTTATTTCAATGTTGACATTTCAGATATAGTGGTATTAAGGACACCTGAATTAAAAAAGTAGACTAATTAAAGTTTTCTAAAATAAAGCCCATCGCAAACCTGTAATTTGTTGCTTTTTGCACTTTCATAAGCAAAGATGATATCTTGTGCCCTTTCTTCAAACGTCACCTTGAAGTTGCAGTGGTGATATTAATGATATAATAACGTTATTTACGTAAATTGACATTGTTCTCACTAATGATGCTCCGTCCTAACTAAGAGAGTGGATTGGAATCAAATATCATTGAAGAAATTCAGCTGGTATCTTCCTTTTAGATACATGAAAATATTTGAGCAGTGGCGGCGCCAGGGTATGGCTGGGGTAGGCTACAGCCATACCAATATATGGCATAGCCCCACCTTAGCCCCAACATGAAAAATTATGTTAAAGTAAGCAAATTAAATTAAATAATAAGCAAAATGTTAAATGTTGAGAACACGGCTTGCAAAAATATACGGGTCGTGTCCACAACACACAAACTGATCCTGCTGTTACGGAACAAGTGCATTTTACTGATGCAATATGGTTGAGACCATTCGGAAATTCTAGAAGAGGGGTGCAAGGAATAGTCTAAGTAGTGGGGGAGTTTTATACACTAAAGGTGTGGACATTCTCTGGTGTTATAATATCAGCGCGGCCGCGGTCAGATCAAAATACCTCCGAATGCAATTTGAATAGAGTCAGACCTACAGCCAATCAGAGCAACGAAACGTTGGGTCTGCGTCATGCATTACTGATGAGATCAGTCGGAACCGCCATTCAGTATCCCCATTGGATCTTCAACGTGAACTATCATACGTCACGTTCACAGTGATCCCTTTTTATTTACTACAAGACAAATGTGCCGTTCTATTTCATACAGTATGAAATAGAACGGCACATTTGTCTTGTAGTAAATAAAAAGGGATCACTGTGAACGTGACGTATGATAGTTCACGTTGAAGATCCAATGGGGATACTNTCTGCCGCCTACAGATGATTTTTGAATTCTGGGGATGGAAAGGAGACTTGCATTATGTGATCGTGGGAGCCTGGTAGATATTCGGGGGGTGATTAATGATGATAGATATGGAGGTGCTAGTCCATGTAAGATTTCAAAGGTTAACAGTAAAATCTTGAAGTCTGATGTTATGTGAATCGGGAGCCAATGCAATAAAATGAGAACAGGGGTGATATGATCAAATGTTCTGGTTCTGGTTAATATCCTGGCAGCTGTGTTTTGAACCAGTTGTAGTTAGGCGGTTGTTGATTTTGGTAGCCCGGAGAAAAGTGAATTGCAGTAGTCCAACCGAGATGAAACAAAAGCATGGATTAAAGTTTCAGCATCGGCTAGGGAAAGCATGGGACGAATCTTTGAAATGTTCCGAAGGTGGAAAAAAACTGTTTTTGTGATGTCTTTAACCTGTTAAGCCTCAAGCCTGTTTTTCAGGTCTCAGACTCGAAAATGACATTCCCAGAACAAATAACTATATCTTCACTTCAAAAAGGGGTAAATTCTCATCTTTTTTCTCAAAGCAATGATACAGCTGTGAGTTGGATGTAGAAAAGTCAGAATCAATATAGATGTTTTTATTTGAATGTGATTGTGATCCAGAACTCCAAGATTTTTGGTGATGAACCAGCTATGTTTAGGCTGAGGTCGCAGAATTTGTCCCTGATATGTTGTGGACCAAGAAGTAACATTTTCGTTTTTTCTCTGTTTAATCGGAGGAAGTTTGATGACATCCATAGTTTGATTTCTTTTATGCAATTTTCGAGTTGTGTCAGTTGATGAGAGTTGACCGGCTTAATGGAAATGTAGAGCTGAGTGTCATCTGCATGAAAATGGGAACCTAATTAATATTTATTAATTAGTAAACCGAGAGGAAGCATATCGATGGAAAAAAGGATGGGGCCAAGCACTGAGCCTTGGAGGACACCATAGTTCATGGTTTTTATTTTCTGAAGAGCAGTTTTTGTAGAGAACAAAGTGAGATCTCCTAGTTAAGTACAGTAAAATTTCAACCAGGAAAGAGCAGGGTCAGTGATTCCTACATGTTTTTCCAAGCGATGGAGTAGAATGTGGTGATCAACTGTGTCGAACGCTGCACTAAGGTCAAGCAGCACCAATATGGATGCAGAGCCATGGTCTGATGCAAGGAGTAGATCATTGACAACTTTCGTTAATGCAGTTTCTGTACTGTGGAGTTTCCTGAAGCCGTATTGATATGGATTGTGTAGATTATTGTTTGAGTTGTTGGGCCACTGCCTTTTCCAGAATTTTGGAAAGGAATGGCAGGTTTGTAATTGGCCTATAGTTGCTGATAACACTAGAGTCCATGTTGTTTTTCTTGAGTAGTGGTTGTATTACCCCTGTTTTAAACGATACATGTACAAATCCAGTAATGAGAGAGTTATTATCTGCAATAGTGGTGGGCTGAGAATCGGGAGAAGGTCCTTTATGTACTTCAAGGGAATAGGATAGAGTACAGAGGTTGTGCATTTTGAGGAAAGGACCAGTTCAGAGAGTGTTTCATGGGTAATTGTCTCGAAGTGGGTGAGAATGCATGGCGGAGGCAGGTCATACGAGATTTCTATGTCCTGGGTGGGAGAAGATGGAGTGGAGGATATTTATTTCTGATATCCACAATTTTAGCTGTGAAGAACTCTATGAAGTCAGAGGCAGTAAGTGAGGTGTTTGAACGGTTTACAGGTTAGATGGGCAACCATATCAAAGAGTCCTCTTCAAACTGTACACAAACGACTGTACGAGAATCCACCCCGAGAATTATATCATCAAATTCTCAGATGATACAGCCATCCTTGGCTTAATGCACAAAGGCAGCAGTTCATCGGCTTACCACTCTGAAATAGAGAGATTTGTGCAATGGTGTGATTTTAACCATCTTGTGCTGAATGTGAAGAAGACTGAGAAGATGGTGTGGGACCCAAAGGCAGTGGGTGACCTTAGGCCGGTGGTTATCCACAATGAACCCATAGCTCAGGTCAGCTCCTATAAGTATTTTGGTGTCCATCTAGATATACTCAGCTGGAAGGTGCATGTTGAAGGTCTGTGCTCTAGACTTCAACAGCGATTGTATTTTTTTTGCGTAGACCCCGGGCTTACGGAGTCGAGCAGAAGTTCATGTTACTGTTTCGTCATGCAGTGTTGGAGAGCATCATACAGTAGGTATCACTGCCTGGTATGGTAATTGACAGTGCAGTCAAAATCACAGATCGCTCGCCTGGTACAGACTGCTATGAAAATTATGGGGGTCAAAAAACATCCATCTCTCCAAAACATATATGAGCATTCCATTATTAGACAGGCACAACAAATTGTGTCTGATCCCACCTACATACTCCACCTGGAATTCCAGCTCTTACCTTCTGGTAGAAGATTCAGGGTTCCCAAGAGCAGGTTGAACCGCTATAACCATTAAGCTTCTTAACATTCACATGTAATGTAATGAAATGTGCTTCTTAAATGTTGGCCATGAGGGTTATGCAATAGGTCGCCATTGTCAGTATGTGCGTGTGTGTATTGTGTTTGTTCAAACGATGTATGAGAGATGATATTTGTATGTATTTTAATGTTTACTATGTTTGTATATGTACATGTATACGGAATTGCAGGACGGAGTCCAGAACAAATGTCCTTACGGGGACAATAAAGTATATTGTATCGTAAAGAGACATTTTGAGCTATTTTTGTTGTTTTGGGTTCAGAGAAATACTTTGTTCTAGCCGAGCGAAGAGTGCGTTTATTTTCACAGAGGCAGTTGGACCACTCGAGTTGAAAAATGTTGAGTTTGGTTGTTCTCCATTTGTGTTCCAGTTTTCTGCATTTCCGTTTCATAGACCTTGGTTGTACCAGGGTGATGGTTTTGGTCTGGTTCTCCTTTTATAAAAGGGGTACAAAAGAGTTAAAGGCATCCAGCAAAACATGATTGAGAGTGTCAGTGATCGATCGTTGATCGATGGTGATAATAGAAGATTTGAGTTTATCAGCAAGTTTATGAACAGTTGTCAAGTCAGTACGACGGGTAGTATAGGTTTCAGAATGGCTATTAATACGACTAGAAGGTAGTGTGCTCCTAAAAGTAAAGACATAATGATCTGAAAGTGCAGGTAGATGTGGTGACATAGTCATGTCTGAGAGGGTAAGGCCACGTGTTAAAACTAAGTCAAGTGTGTGACCATGGACGCGTGAGAGGGTACATTGACATGTTATGTGAAATCAGTAGAGTCTATGAGATCTGAATAATGAAATCTCCCATGATTATAAGATTGTCTGATCATGTCAATATGTCACAGAGAAAAGAAGCAAACTCAGATAAAAATTGTGAATAAGGCCCAGGTGGTTGGTAAACAATTGCTATATAAAATGATTCTTCATTTGCATGCATAAGTAGTAATTCAAAGGATGTGAAACCAGTCATAATAATTTGATTTAGTGACAGAGAACCAGAGTTGTATATTTTTCATTTCATTTCATTTAGTTGTTTATTTGAATCGGGATAATGCACATTAATGAACACTTAAGACAAATAATGCTTCAAGTGTAAATAGGCCGGATTTTTGCTTTGAGCTCATTTACATCCGTAGTCCCTCACATACAACATATAAGAACGTAAGTATATAGCAGCTAGGCCCCCACCTCTTCTTGATTCACGAGACACTTGCAGGCTGGTGTAGCTAGGGGGTGATGCCTCATTCAGGCTTACAAAGTCACTTGGCTTTAGCCAGGTTTTGTAAAGGCCCATGATATCAATGTTATGGTTGGTTATTATTTCATGGATAAGCAGAGATTTAGAAGACAGTGAGCGAATGTAAATAAAAGCCAATATTCAGAATAATACTTTGCAAAATGGCAGGTCGTGAGGAAGAGGAGGGTTTTATAGAAATTAGGTCATGGAGATTTCTAGCATTGTGGTTATAAGTCTTATTTACAATTCTTTTTTTCTTCTTCTCACAAACAATGTTGACTGGTCTGTCTGCCACTGATGATGAATGGAACATTTGTGTGAAATATATTGACAAATAGTCATTGATTGAGATAAAACATTTAGACATTTCCTCTAGCCATCATGAGGTTTACATTTTTGGACTTCAATAAGATTCTCCCTTCAGGGTGAGTTGTAATGGTTTTTAATGATCTACCAACAAGAGCTTTTTAGCTTTGCCATTCCAAGCAAAAAAAAAAGCTTGTGCTGCTTTGCCTTCCATTAGATGAACTGTAGGTTCAGACATCAACTGTCAGTACATTTCAATGTAAACATGTATATTCCCGTCTCCAGCTCGAGCTCCCGAAGACAATAACACAGTATAAGCAGGAAAGAATGTGTGTAATCTGATAACCCCATTATTGTGTTCATGCTACCTCATGAAAAACACTTGATACCGTTCATACAGCATGCAGATGCAATATCTTGATACAAAATAATGACACAAGAAAAGGAAGGGAAAATCAAGAAATAAGAGCAAGGATCCTTGGAAATATTGTGTTGGTCATCAGAAATGAAAGGCAATATCAATAAAGTGGTGGAGGACAATCCACTTCCTCTCTCCTGAGACATCCGCAGGGAAGGTGGGCATGGAAGCCTCCGCAGCGTACAGGCAATATTAAGGTAATCAATCGTCGTCAGTGATTTGGCAGTGCTGGATTTACTGTAGTGAGATCCATCGCATTCTGTATTAAGCCATAATTGATTTGATCTCCATAATCTCTTTCCTGGTTGTCGTGGGTAACACTGTGTGACAGCGCTGAGTGATGTGCTTTCGGATGGGGGCGGTGGAGATAAACGTGTGATGGCTTTGCAATGAGCTGGACGGCCCATTCATATTCATCAACGGATGTGCACCCCGGGGGCTTAGGACAAAAGAGGGGCATACAACAACACACACTGCACTACACCACAATTTGATTTTCTACATTATGAAAATACTAGCATGGAAAAATACTTTTCAATGCATCGCATCTCATTGACCCAAAAAACCCACATAAACCATCACAGTCACAACACGACACAGACTCTTTCTCATCAAACAGCCATGATTCACCATATTTTAACATTTATGTGATTCTCCCCTCTGAGAATAAGATTTTGATTTAAATGCACTTTTAAATGTCACTATCCAACAGCAGTAATGTCCTCTCTGAGACCTTTTCAGAGAGGAACGTATTTCTGCCTTCTCTCTTTCTCTTTTAATTAACAGAACATGATGTGTGTCGCTAACAGATTACTCACAGGCAGTGGACAACAGTGCGACCTTCTCCACACTCCCTCTGCCATTTGTGCACTTGAGCCAGGAGGTTGAGGAAAGCCTTCTTGGAGTCGGGAACATCTCGATACGCCGACCAGCGCAGGAACTGGAACTGACACACCACTAGCTGGCCCTCTTGGAGCTTGGGATGCAACAGAAAAAAGAAAAATACATGAGTAAACCAGTGCTGTGAGTGCAAGTGTGCTTGCTCCTGTTTGTGTCTGTGTTGAAGTGCATTTTCTGGTTGTTTTAGTATTTTCTGTGTGTGCCTGTTAACACCCGTGTAAGAGTGCTCCCTAGGCTGTGTGCTGGCACTCAGCTGTGCTCACTCAGCAGACTGACTTTGAGATATATAGGTCCGCTGAGGTAAGCTAGGCCCGGGATGTGTGTGTGAGAGGTCCCTGTGTGTTCATAACTTTGTCCCGTGGAATCTCACCTAATACTTAAGGACCAGTGGAGAACTGTAAGTCATGCAAATTGGGCTGGCAAAGACACCAATGATGCACGTAGGAATTGCCTCAATGGAGCTGGGATTTATACAATGTACTCTTCTTTTTTTTTTGTAATACAACTCACACATACATACGCTTACAATGCACTTTCTTTGACTTTTACTCCCTACCAGTATACATCATTGTCACACACAGGAAGAACACACCCTAAAGCAGTGAGAGGAAGAGGTTCATGTTATTTCTGTGTGATTCGACTTTTCCCACACTGTGTTAAGTTGCCCTCTGCTTGACTGTCGTACGTAATGAGTGCAACAAAGGTGCTCTGGGTGGAGAGGAGAATGACAAGGGCGGTCGACAGAGGAGGTGAGGATGCCAATCAAGAAAGGAAGTTCTGTGCAAAGCATGTCATGCTGCTTCTAATAGCAGCCAAGAAATGCCTTGCATACAGATTTCTTCAATAATTGGGTTGATAGTGATCCGGAGTGGAATGCATGCATGTAATTATGCAAATGTGCAGGCTTTAACCATACCTGCATAGTCACGTAGAATCAACAAAAAAAAAAAAGAGAAAATACCTCCCTGACATCCCCTGTGCTCCCTCTACCATGACAGAGCTGCCAGATACTTTATTTAGCCTGTTTCACAAGGTCTTCCTAATTCTCTAAATGCCACATACTTTGTAAAAAGGTGTGACATGGTTTATGAAGAAATGTAAAAGAGTCTGCTATGCAGCTTGAGAAGAGTGTCCTGCCACGGAAGATATGCAATGCATTATGATGATAAAAGCCCCCTCTTTGGTATGCCAACATGCACCTAAGACGCTTATCTAGGAAATGACAAGAAGAAATTGAAAAAAGGGAAAGAATGACCTTTATTGCCTCTCTGTTAATGGGCTTTTCTTGCATGTTTGCCATAGAAAACTCTTTTAATATGTATCCCTCATATGGGAACATCTTGGTGCGTCTGGTTCTATTTTCTGGACTGACGAATATCAGAACAATGTTCTTTGTAGTATGTATGATACAATCTATGAACCATTGTTATCTTTTTATTTTTAACATTGTGCTCAGTGCACATCTCCAGGCTATATTCTTTAGAGTGTATTTACATTTTATTTATTTGACAACCTCCTCTTTCCCTTGAGGCACACACTAGAGAAGCACCGTTGTTTATGCATAAGAAAGAAATATGGATAAATAATGATGCATAGGCACACACTGTGTGGAAATCCAGCATCAAGTGAAGCACTCATCCTTTGAGTTTGCTTACAAGTAGATGTATAGAAATTCAAATCATAATTTACACAGTATTATTACAACCAAGTCTATAGTTCTTTGACTTTAAGGACTTGTGTCATGTCGTGTTTAGGTGCACATTACAGCTGGTAGCTCTAAATGTACTGGTAAAGTAGTAAAATTTGAATTACTGGAGAAGGCCACAGCTAATGCATTTCTAATAAGGTTCATTTTCTTTTTGTGAAATACCACTGAGTGGCACAACATGTCCTGTGCAGGCTTTGTTGAATGACTCACCCGTGTGACATTCTTGACCCGAAACAGACGAGTGATGACATCTTCGTCAGCAGACATGGACAGAAACTCCACCTCCATGGGCCCGTACTGCTGTAGCCCGGGCTCTGGCCAGTACTGAACACACGGCTAAAGACAGAGGGGGAGGTAAATGAAAGAGAGAGAGATTTTTTGTATCAGTGATTACATGTTAAGTGTTAGTACTCGTTTATTCTCCGGCAGTTGTCGCCCAGAAAAAAATCCTTTGCTCTCAAAACCTTGGATCATCAAACAGCAAAGGGATTTAAAAAGCTGAAATGATGATATTAGGGAAAAGTCTAAAGTCTAAGGATAACGCAAAGGAAATGACATTATACAGTTGGAGTATGGTGTGTGCCTGCTCCTACTTAACATAAAAGATGAAACCGTCGTGTTAATGAGCGGGGAGAAGCAGCAAGAGGAGGGAGAAATGTAACATTCTTTGCTTTCTTGTAACAAGAAAGGTGCAGAGTACTGCTGTGCCACGTGTGAACTCTTTAACAGAGTTTATAGCGATGTCTTGGTGAGAACAAGATAAGATGGTGATAACAATATTCAAGCAATACAAACATTAACTGCATTACACTGAAAGAAAGTATGAAAAACATTACAAGCAGAGTAAAAGAAAAATAACATTTTAAAGGGGTTAGCTATAATTTATTTCTGTTTATTTGTATATTACTAGACGAGGGTGTTCTAAAATAGCATGAATGAAAAAAGGCAACACAGAAACTCTAAATTAATACATTTAATGAGCAAATCATACTCATTGATTCAAGATTTAATATAATGTATTAGTATCACAGTTGCAAAGCCTGTCAAAGCACTTAAACTCATGTTGAGAGGCAATTCATCAAAAAAAACATCTTTCAGTAAAATTCTCCAGTGCCAAATAGCAATGAATTACTGTTAAATGTCTACCTTTTAGCAGATTTCTCTACCCAGTGAATATTCAGATGAATAAAGTCAGAAAGAATATATCCAGTTTTTTGGATAAAATAAGTTAAATAGTGGGTAACTTCGCAGCAGCTTGTTTGGTGGTTCTTTTTGTCAAAATCGTTTTTTCAATCAGACTTATATTAAATCAAGTTATGTTTTTGTCAAACACACCGATTCAAAATTGGCAATAAATATACAAATATATTCACTTTGGTGATTTAATTAATCAAGTGAATTCTGTTTTCACCACAATCTAAGGTAGACCTTGGACGAAATAGTATTCATAATTAAAAGTAAGCAGCTGCTTTCCGAGGCTGTGATACAATGTATTACATATTTCACAAGCTTAATTTTGAAAGTCCTACTAGGCAAGGCTTGTAAGTTTAGCCTTTACTCCTAAAAAACAAAAATCTAGATTTGCATAAGCCACTTTCTTCAATGTCTTTGGCTTTTGGCTTGTGGACTTATTAATTATAAAGGTGTTAATACAAGGTAAAATGAAATGTTTGCTGAAAGTATAGCTTCATTTGCTCAACAGTTTGCTGGCAAACTCTTGATAAAAAACCCTCTAATATGATACTATACTTCTAAGCCTATAGGATTAAATGCTGACTTCTAAAGCAATTGTCTGATAAGCACCTGATTATCTACTATAGCCTTATTTATCATTATAAGCATTGCCCTTAGAGATCCACCCACCTTTAATTACCAAAAGAGTTCTGTTTAACAAAGGCTTAACCGACTTTAAAATCTCATCTTTTGGTTATTTGTTCCAAGCGATTGGTTTTGTTTTTAATTGAATATGAAACTTGATTCACGTGCTGTGCTCTAACTCATTATAATATCCATTATAGTCTTAAAGAAAGATCAGGGAACAGCAGATGAAGACATATGCTCATGAGAAAAAGTGGAACACCAACGAAGAAAAAAAAACGGATATGTGGCTGGAGGGTGCAAGCCTATTCTTCAGAGATGTATCTTGAGAAGGGGAAGGGAAGACTGGGGCGGGTCTTATCTAGTCATGCCTTGAGATCAATGTGGTCAGGGATCAAAGCCCAACAAAATGGCATGAAGGAACTAATCCTAAGCACAGTATACAGTCACTTTATTATTAGTAAAGGTGGCGTATTCTTGGAAAAGTCTGAAGTAAAGTTCAGATAACTAAAGATTGAAACCAAAACCTTGTATGCCAAAGAGCAGCTCTTGTGCGGGTGAACTCAAACCTTTTTCTAAGCCTATTTTCCTGTATAGTGTCAACAAATCGATGGCAATAAAGCAGTATAACACTTTGACCTTACCCAGGCAGAGTTTGACTGGTTGAGTTGGTTGAGCATGACCACTGCCGTGCAGCCGTAGTCGAAGACCAGCCTCCAAAAGTCCGCTGTGGTCCCCGGCAGAGGGTGAGGGGTCACAATGAACGCAGCCTGCCGATGGAAGCTGTCAGCGAGAGCAGCGTTGATGTAATTGTTGCTCTCCCCTTCAGTCGTAACCAAGAAGGCCAGGGCGCGATCAGGCGGCAGGACATCCATGCTGCGATTCTTCTCTCGGTTTCTGGGCAACAGAGCGATGCTGCACTCTTCCACATCCAGGTGGGGAGTCACAGAGTTGAGCGTCTGCAAATGGAAACATTTAAGAGGTGAGACGAGAGCGACAGGAGTATGAAATTAAATTGAAGAGAGAATTAAAAGGATGGAGACACTGCAGAGGATTCAAAGATGTTAGGGAGGAGGAGTAGGAGGAAGAAAAGAAATGAATCAGACAGAAGGAGGGAGGACTGGGACGCAGAGAATGAAGAATCCAATATTGTTAATTGAAAGAATCGTAATACTCTGAACATCACGTTGACAAACTGATTCAAAAGAACGAAAGATAAATTAGGCCGACTGTGTTCTAAAAGGAAATGTAATGAATAAAAAAAAGAAAAAGAAAGCCTCAAAGGGAAATATTGCATACCAATTTTCTTTGATGAACTCTCTGTTCATTTAGCTGTAATTACATTAGACAACGGGATAAAAACATTTGGATCATAAACACACAGCATCAATAATAGATCCGTGACTTGCTGATGTCAGTACTACCGGTCGGCTGTTTGCAGCCGGCAGGATGACAGAGTAAAAGACAAACACAGAGCTCATTGGGCGGTGGAGAGGCTTTCAAAAACAATATCAGACGGGTAGGTTTACAAGATCAAAGTGTGGGCATGTTCCATTTCCCTTTGTGAAGAACCAAGCGTTTGTAATCAGAGAGATGCTCCACCTACATCAAAATTCCCTAACTCTTAGTAATACATAGATCGTGATTCCTATGTGGAGAATAAGGATAAATCCATATTCAATTAAAGAATGGACCCTTTTCCAGTATTACTTTCAAATGCTAAACCTGGAATCAATGCGGCTGCTGTTTGAGCTGTGCAGCGACATGGAGGGGCGTTTAGGGGGTGGGGGGGCAGACGGTACAGCATGTGGGAACACAGCTGGCTCTTTTCTCTCCTAATCAACATCTAATACAATGTTCTAACACCACATTCCTACAAACCAGGCAGAGGATCTCACAAAATCAAAAGTAAAAGGAAACCAACAACATCGCCTGCACAAATCCACACACACATTTATGAGTGTATATACTGTATGAGACACAAAAACACACAAATGCACAATCACACACACATGTATGAGTGTATATATGAGACACAAAAACACACACATGCACAATCACACACACATGTATGAGTGTATATATGAGACACAAAAACACACACATGCACAATCACACACACATGTATGAGTGTATATATGAGACACAAAAACACACACATGCACAATCACACACAAACACATCCATCTATTAGCCCCTTACTTTCTGCACTCTGTTGATTTTCAAATGTCTGCTGTAAGTGCATTTCCACAGCACAGAGGATGTACTCATCGTCTATAGTTTATGTAACTGTCTGAGGACAAATAATACTGTTTTAAAAGCAAATGTACAGTACTGTACATAGCAGAATAAATGGAAAGTAGATATAATACTATCCGGGCTACGATTGACTGTAAAAGTATACATTTTATCATAAATGATGTAACCTTAATATGCAAACCATCCGCTTAACAACATTACGTTAATATTACTTTTACAATATTATTGTTACCGGTACTAACAGTAGAAGTGCAGGTTAAAGGAAAAAATAATGAAATTATTCATCTCTGCTCTCATTAGGAATATTGTAGTAGTATTAGTACTACAGAATACTAAAGTAGTATTAGTACTCCAGTAATACGAACATTATATTGTTGTTAAAGTTCTAGAAGAATGAAATAAGTATGACATAATTTGGTTGATGCTGTGTGTGGGCTGTGTTATTCAGAGTACCTGGTTTTATGTTTTTTACTGCATTTTGAAGAGGGACAATTACAACATTTACAAACATTATCATATCACCAGATCTCACTTTACTTAGGTCAAACGTAACTTTAGTATCACAATTTTAAAAAATCCGAAAAAAAAGAAGGGGAAAAATGAACATAACAAAACCAAACAACATCATAAAGAACAACTTAAAAGAGGGAGTGGGAGGATGTGAAATGGTTTCATATTCTAACAAAACAAATATCTGCCTAGGAAGTTGATCGAGAACATGTCGAGGTAATGACTTACCTGAAACTCCTCCCGTAGTTGAGAGGAATTACTCTGGGAATCGACTCGCAGCATCTCTTTGTAAGTAACCGCAAACTCATTTACCAAAATGGCCGTCTCCCCGCACAGACAGGCTTCCAAAATAGCATCATGGATGAAGATGTACTGCTCCTGAAAGGACAACAGGTAACATCATTTAGTGCTGTGCTTGTGCATGTATTTACTTTAGGTGCTGTCTGATAACACATACAGTAAGAGAGTTTTGTGTGTTGCTGACAGGTAAACAAACATTACCAGAGAGGTGAGTTGAGAAGGAAACCGATGTGAGAAAATAATCAAACAATACAACTAATGGCAGAGATTGTTCATAACCTGGTTCTGAATTAACCATGTACAACACATGTGATGTGCATTTAATTAGAGGACCCCTGTAAATTACTACAAATGTAATAAACAAGTCAATTTCGAATTTACATAATAAGAGGTTACTATGCAAATGATCAGCACATCTAGAGAACGGCACGTGCCTACACAGCACACTGAGAGACAATGTGAGTCTTTTCTCTACAACTATTGCAATGACCTTTACATTAATCCCAGAGGGGGAGTATGATAATGCACCCAACGCTAATGTTTAAAAACTTGACTCTCCGGAAGTTTTCCATTGGAGAACACGCTGCAATACTATGACCAGTGAAGCAAATGTATGCAAGAACATCTTTAATATTTGACTTGAGTTTAAATGTGAATGGGTTTTATTTCGCTATGCTCTTGACCTGACCTCTGTCTGGATCATGTTGATGCGTCTGGAGCAGAGGGTTTTGACACAGTTGTAGATATCCACCACGCCTTCACACTCGGCCATGTCCAACATGACGTCCAGCACGATGTAGCAGCCGGTGCGGCCCGCCCCCACGCTGCACACAGGGGACATCTTTCATGAGGCACCATGTACAATCATGAAGCAATACATCAACAGACTTTTGAGTGAGTGATATTGTTGTTAGAATGTTTTTAAAAGATACAATAGCCCTCCTCAGGAGCACAACACGATTTAAAGGAAAATGGGAACATTTAGCAAGACAGCTATAACATTTGCTAAGCTAAAACTAGCAAATAGGGCAATACCATGCTAGCTAGGTAGAAGGGGGTTTGGGGGTGATGCAATGCCTCTCGTTAGTAAAATGACCTGAATGCATCCCCCGTCCCCCGTGTTAAAAATGTACCAATCATTTACAAAACGTTATGCTTTGGCGTTACTTTCTTTCACTCTGGTAGTGGAAGATTCGCTAGGCCAAAACTGACAATTCAGTGAAAGTAGGCCTACAGTACATCTGAATATCTCTCTCCAATGTCTTAGGGTTTATTTATTTTTTACTCTGGAAATAAGGTATATTTCTGGAAATAAGGTATTTTAACATAAAAGACAAGATACCTGGGCCCGTATTTCAGTTTCTGTTTCAATACTTGTTTCACAGGACAACTAACCTAGCTAGCAAGGCTACCGAAGATTAGCCTGCCAAAGTTGCTGGCTGCCTCCATCGAACACGTTCCCTCATTCTGAACATCATAGCGGGCTCTGAGCCTCCCAAAGAAGAAGAATATCTTCTACTAATACTAATAGTCATATTCTGAAACATTAATTGTGATAACATTTACAACCTTTAGTTTAGTTTTATGACACTACAGGATACAGCTGCTGCTAAGTGTCACTTTACCTGCAGTGGACCACCACAGGGCCGGCGTCAGGAGGCGTAGAGGCTTTCACTCTCCGTATAAAGGCCAACAGTCCGGTGGCATGATAGGGCACTCCGTGCTCCGGCCAGGATGTGAAGTGGAACTGACGCACCTCATGCTTGGTTGAGTATCCTCTCTGTCAACAGCAACACAGTGAGCATTAGCATTACATGTAAACACCACATTTACATGGCTTGCACATTAAACATAGTAGCCTGCAGGCCCTAATTTCATCCAAGACGTGCTCCCATCAATTTAGAGACATTCCCCCTCTGAGATGGATATGTTAGAAAATGTGTTTCATTGTGAGGACAACCAGGACATTATTTACATGAGGTGTTAGGCCTCTGGGCATAACATGCTAGTAGCAGCTGCAGTGTGACAGACACGCAGAAGGAATTACTGAAGCTCTCGGAGCTCATGGAGGGCTGTGAGTTTTCTCCCCTCTACTGGGAGGCTGCTGCAGTCACACAGCAATTTTTTCCGCTGTACAGAGATGACAAAGTAAAGCGGGGCAAAGCAAAGATTTGTCGAAGACAGAATTCCAAAAAAAGAAAGGAATAGAGCTATGAAAAACAAGCTGTCACCAGCTCCCCAATTCGTGCCGATTTGAATAAGCAGTAGCGTGTGCCCATGGAGAGCAAATGTGACAGTTTGATGATAATTCTGTGTTTGTGCCACTGTCAATCCAGCGTCGCTCTGAGCCCCTCCAATGATAGATCCCCCAGGAGATTGACAGGATGGAGTCCATCAGGGGCACAAAGACGGCAGGGGCATCCTCATAGCTACTGGTGTTAATTCCTCCCAATTTAATATGTGGCCCTCAAACCCATCTGCAGTAAATCCTGTCAAGTACCTAATCCCCTCTATCAATGTTCTACTTCTAGGCCTACTTCTAAGAATATAACAAGTACTAATACATGGAAAGGAGGGTTACATAAACTTACCCTCTCCAAGGCAAAGGTGCGAACTGTGTATTCAGCCAGTGTCTCCGTCTTAAGAAGGGTGATTTTGATGTCACCATACATCTCGCTGTCATCAGGCCAGTATTTAGAGCATTTCACCTGTTTTAAAATAGGGAAACCATAGTGTTAAATCCTAATGTTAAAATTCCTGAAAAATGCACCTGCTGAAAAAAGGTGTGACATAAATGTATCTGTTTGATCGTGTTTTTAAAAGATTGAATATCAACATTTTCTTTCTCCAGTTCAAAGCAAAAAACTATCGACTGGTTCAAACCTTTACACTGTATACAGTATACATGTCTGTGATGTTTCGCTTAGTTAGAAAAGTTTTACACGCGGTAGTTTTTGATCATAAATAATATCGTCATAGCAAATGCATGTGTACAGCTGTCCACATTTACAACAGCGGTGTATAAGTGAATTGCATTCTGCAATTGCCAAAATACAATTTCCTGCCTAATTTGAGGATAAACTGAACTAAAACGGTCTATACAGTTGGCTGTAAAACATCCATCCTTAAGCAAAATCCGCTTTTTCTTATTCATCCTTTGGGAGACAATGTGATCCAGTGCTTCCTCAATTTATCCATTTGAGTCCTAAAGTGCCCCAATTTTCCTAAAACGTCTCCCTCTTAAGGAGCAATTCCTTTGAATCTACCCTTCTCTTTGAAAAAGATGCCTCAAATACAGTGGTGGTGCCAGAGTATTTTTGTTGGGTAATGTATGGTAGGGCTAACCCATACAGTGGTGGGGCTCAAGTCAGTATTTGCAATGTAATTACATACACGCTATATCGCCCCCCTTGACAGTGAAACGCATAGGCGGCGCGTGAGGCTCAGGTTTTGGAAGGCTAAATAACCTT